CCGAAGTACCATGCAGGTGCACACCTGAAAAAGGGCCCGTTTACTTCGTCCTGCCACGGCGATCACGGCTTCGATCGTAGCGGAGATAGATAAATATAATCTAGACAGGAGATCGATCAGCAGCAAGGCGAACATATCTGTTGCAGGCTCATGAATTTTTCTTGGCGTTCCCGCGGACCTCTCAAATGGCGTTCAAAATCGCCGCGGCGATGCGACGTTTAGAAGTTAAGGAGCCGCAATCAAACCATATGACTCCCGTATTTTGCATAAGATATCACACCTCCTGGGCCTATTTTCAAAGCTTGATTACTTGGCTGGGAAAGCAGTGACTGTGCCGGAAATGGCGGAGTCGGAACCGTCCCGTTGAGAGCTTTCCGAACACGTATCGTTTGCCTTCGGTATCCTCGTCGTCGTGGACCAATCCAGCTTCGAAAATCGGTCCATTGGGTGTGGTATCTAATGCAACTTACGGTAATATGTATAGTCAGCGCTGAAATCAAAATATGTGGCTACTCAGCGCTGAACAGTGAAATAGTTTGATTTCGGCTTCTAAAAACGACGCGGCTCGCCCTTTGGATTGTTGAGAGAGCCGTTGTCCTAGGTCGCCGTGGCTCTGTCGGCAGGCGCTGGGAGGTCGCGTATCACCCAAGAAACGCCAGATGTTTCTATCCGTGTGGTACTGTCCATAGATCCCAAATTGAAGTTGCAACGATTCCAGAACATTGGCAGGTGTAGAATAAGTATTCGTGAGGTCCTAATCATCTGTACTGGTAGATATTCGCATATATATGCGCACTTTTGTCCAATTCCAACTTCGATCGGCCACACGGCCAATCGATGCCCCCTTTATTAACCTTGCAGGCTCAACAAGCCAACATTATGGCAGGCACGGCAGTAGCCCCTCGAACTCCCGCGACAGCGTCCGCCGCCGGCACGACAAACAAGTCCAAGTCCCCCGGGCTTCGCCGTCGGGGGTTGCTAGATGGGGCCGATGACGTGCCGTGGAAGTCTTTTCCATCGCTGGTGTCTGGTGCCAGTGAGTCGTCGGCCAGGACAGCGAAGGGGGGCGCAGCCGCAGCGGGCGAGGCTCCCGCTCTCTCCGTCGTGTCGCGGTCGGCTACGAGCAGGTTCAGAGCCAGGAGGGAGCTCGAGAGGTGAGAGCCCTCGGGAGGGGGGACGGGGAACCAGGCCGTTTTTTTCCTTCGTGGGTGCACGCGGAGGGACGGGGAACACCTCATTTTTCGTCCGTGAAAGGGAATCAGGCGAATGCGAAATGCAGGTAGCCTGCTGGACCCTTTGTGCGTTGCAGCTTCTTTCGTGTACCTTGAGATGTAGTGGCCGGCACCGGTAGGTTGTGACACCTACCTTTGTTTTTCCTGTGGGCTATGGTGAAGGTACACAGCAGTTCGTCCATTGTAATGAAGAGTGCTCTTCGTTACATAAGCTCAATTTAACTTGGAATACGGTCAAAAACATCCCATCAGCAGGACGCCCGACATTCATGGTTACCGCGATAAGCACGGCGACAAAGAGTATTTTGTCTTTTTTGTCTGATGCAACTTTAAAAGCCTGCCGTTCAATAGAGGCAACACGCAATCTCACCCCTGAAGCGGTTGGTGTGCCATATGTAGCCAGGTCTAAGAGAAAATGCTAACCCCCTGCGATATCTCCGACCCCTGATGCAATAAACTTGTCTTTTGTGCGAATCGATTGTCGCACGGTGGCGCCGACTCCTGGCATTGCTGTTTGCGTTCAAGCCGCATTTTTACGGTTTTATTCAGATTTTCACTGGGCAGCGCCAATTCCTCCCCCCCCCCTCACCGCCCCCCCCCGGTGTTTGCCATCGGGGTTGAGTTTTCGTCGCTTGGCAAC